TGTTATAACACACTACACAAATAACCAGAGGCAGCTGCTCTTTAGAGGTACAATAGGATTTATTTACTTCAGCATAGATCAATGAGCAGCAACTTCCACTACCATCTATTATAAGCACAATAAAAGCAAAAAACAATCAGCAAGCATGTGATGTGTGTGTGCGAGACAATAAACGGGGGGGGAAAAGCAAGGAATATGGTGTATGAGGCCACGCGGGAGGCTCGTCACACAATGATTCAAAATGGAAGGCAGGGCTGTGATGCTGAAGCTAAAGGGGTTAGGAACCAAAATGGAGGACGCACTCTACCTGTCTTCACCAAGATGGTGTGGAACACAGCTGGAGTTAAGGCTACACGCTGTGGGTTCCAGGTGTGTGTGTGTGTGTGTGTGTGTGTGTGTGTGTGTATTGCTTAGTAGAGGAAGAGAGAAAGAGAAAAAAGCACACAAAGCATATAAGATCCTGGTTGCTGCTGCTAGATGCACTGTAACTACCACTTTATCCCACTGTACCCAGCAGTGAACCTGCATTCAGCCGCCGTGGTCCTGGATTTTGGTTTTGATAAAAAGGTAGTTATTGGAGCAGCATGCAGCCGAAGGAACTAACATTGCATATTAGGCTACGTTCGGACTGCAGGCCTTACCGCTCAATTCCGATTTTTTCCCCAGATCCGATTTTTTTTGTTTGACTGTTCACATTATTGTTTAAACGTGGCCCGTATCAGACTCAAGTGTGAATTGTCTGCGGCCTGAAAGTGACCCGCATGTGCAGAAGAATAACACGACGTCACACCCAGCAGCAGCTGTTGCAGGCTGCAGAAGTAAACAAGGAGCCGCAGAGGTTAGTCCGGTTAGCTCGCAGGAGACTCCAGTTTTTCATTGTCCTCTCACGGGTCACATTTCTCCCGAATGATGACAAGTGTTCACAACTTTCAGCGTAGCTCTAGCTGCTCTGGAGTGACGTCAAAGTCGCATCAAATGCGACCTGAGTGTCCAGACTGAGGTCCCATTTAAAAAGATCCCATCTGTATCGGATTTGGACCACACCTGGAAGTGGCCCAAATCCAAACTGGAAAAGATCAGACCCCATGTGACTTGGCCTGTTCACACCGTCATAAAGAGATCAGATCTGAGTCACATATGGGCAAAAAAAAATCAGATTTGGGTCACTTTGGCCTGCAGTCTGAACGCAGCCTTAGACACACAGCACCGTAGGCTGGACAGTGTCGTATGACTTCTATCATAAGCAGCTCAGTCACTTTTTTATTTTTTTACACAAATACCGTCATATACCGTATATATACCCCGGTGAAATGTCAGGAAGGTATGAAAACATAAATACTGCTCAAGCATAACTATGGTCTCCAAAATGTGTTTAGGAAACACAAAACAAAAGAAAAAATTGTTGGACCTACCTCCTGTAGCAGCCCTGTCGTTTAATGGACCAGAGGGACTTAAGGCCCATTTATACTCCTGCGTAGGGTCTACGTGCCCTACGCACATAGCCATGCATTTATACTTGTGCGTTGGTGCGCCCATCATTCTGCAATTACAGCCCCAAACGCTAGTCGGCGGTAGCGCTACAGCGTCCACTGTGTTGATTTCCACTTTAGCGCTCCGCTAACGGGAATGGGGGTAAAACTGTATACGTGCGGCGACCGAATGGATCACATTCTGAAAGTGAAACGAGTCATTTCGCCCAGGTTTTGACGGTCAAATATATTGATCCACCGTGTTACAGCCGCTGTTTTGGCCACTAGTAAAAGTTACTTCAAAGCACAGGGCACTTCCTTTTTGGCTCGGAGGCACTGCGAGGCTACACAGCCGACCACAGTGCTTACGGCCCGCGTCGCCTCGACGTGTACTTACATTTTTGAGGAGGTGCGCGTCAGGCGCATAAGTATAAATTACACTTTAGCTGTTTCTTTGTTTAGGCTACTGGCCTTACATGTAGGCCGCATCTTTGTTTCCCATAATGTGAGGCTCCAACACTGAAGAAAACTTGAAAACGTGACAATTCTCAGTTCACAAGCTGAGATTTGAGATAATATCCTCTGAAAGTCACACTGACTCTAAAGTATGTGTCAAGTCTGTCTGTTGTGTTATGACTCAGAGAAGGAATATTGCTTTTAACTCAAATTACAGTAATTAGGCGCTGAGGGGTTTAAAGAACCTTAACTGCCTTCATGAGCTGTGTCACAGGTGCTGCTGCTGCAGCAACCGCTGACCGTGTTGGTGAGCAGGCCAAACCACAATAACTTCCCATTGTTTTTAAAACACTAGCATGCACATGACCCTTTCACACAGTATCTAACTCACACCTCTCCCTCCAAAACCCCCTTCAACTCTCCTGTGTCCCCCTGAGGAGGCGCCTCAAAGTTTGAAAACCTCTGCTCTAAACTATTTTATTTCAGAAAAGTTTTTGCACATTTACCACTGCTGCGTTTTAGACAACTCTTTGGTTTGTTAAAAGAAAAAACAAGTGTTTAATAGTGAGGTATATGAACATATTTCTGTGGTACCAGAGTATTGTATATACCAGTACTAACAAAGTTCAAACAATACCCAGCCCGGAGTGCAAATAGCCTATACCCATGATATTCAACTCTACTGGGATTCCACACAAAATGCTTATCTAGTTTCTTTGAATCAACATGTCTAAAGCTCAATAACTGACAAACTGTATCTCATTTGTTTCACTCGTACACAAACAGAAATGTATAAACGGCAATGAACAAAAGATTGTAATGTTCTAATTATTGTGGACACAAAGATCCGAGTAGACCTGACCGAGGCCCTACAGGTAGAAAAGACCTTAGAGTCCCTCTCCTGGACCCTTCTTGTGGTCACCTGATATGCACACATGGTTGGGGTGCTTTAATAACTCAGAATTAACATTTTTTTTCAAAAAGGGTTGAGTTTTCTTTATGGTTCCTATTAGGGGTGGGAATCGCAAGGTACCTCACAATATGATACACAATACATGGCTCGCGATACGGATAATATCACAATACAGCAATTCTGCGATAATCGATATATTGCTAGACAATCCTTATATGATACGTCACGATATCAGTCTAACTATAAATGCAAAATGCCCATGTAAAAGGTTATGTGCAGGTTTTCTGTCTTTACTCACTGCAAATCCAAACTGTTAGGCTACGTTTAGACCCAAATTTTTGCCCAAATGTCACTCAGATCTGATCTTTTTATGACAGTGTGAACAGGCCACATGGGGTCTGATTTTGTCCAGTTTGGATTTGGCCCACTTTCATATGTGGTCCACAAATGACCCTCGGATCGGAATTGATTTGATTTGATCGACTTTGACGTCACTCTAGAGTAGCGGTTCTGCTGTAGACGGAGCAGCACTGAACAAAAAAGCTCCACAAAACACCATAATTAAACATGTGTCTCTCTTTCTTCTCTACCTCGCTATAATCTGCTCACAGATTTCCTTTCTAACACCTGAAATCCACCGGACCGCGAGCTCTCTTCTGAGTTATATGCATGCTACTTGTCCGAGCAAACACAGTGTAGAGTAGTGTTGTAGTCAAGACCGCCAAAATCCAGACCAAGTCAAGACCAAGACTTTTAGGGGCTGAGAGCAGTCGAGACCAAGACCGAGGGAGGGCGAGACAGAGTCAAGACCAAGACCAGTTCCCTGCATAAAATGTGGAACGAGATCACAGGTACTTCACAAATTGATCTGAAAGATCCACATTCCCATTAAAACACCCACATACAAATGTAAGCATCGCAGGGAGGGGGGGCGGTCGTTAATTAGGGTTATTGGTTGCATTTGAAGCAATATGTTTTACTTCCAATCAAAGTTAGGATGTTAACAAATCAGACAATGCATAAGCAATTTATTGATATTCCCAAAGTTATGGTCTTGACTGGTCTTGAAATAAAATCCAGAGTCCTCAATGTCCCAGACCGAGACAAGACCATCAAAAAGTGGTCTCGAGTACTACAACACTAGTGGGGAGGGAAAGAGAGAGAGTTAGAGAGAGAGAGAGAGAGAGAGAGGGAGGGAGTGAGTTGTGGGGCAGTTGTGTCGTACAGCGCAGAACGTTGTGAACACTTATTATAATAATTCGGGAGAAATGTGATCCGTGAGAGGACAATGAAAAACATGCGAGTCACTTTCAGGCAGGCAGACAGTTCCCACTGGAGTCTGATACGGGCCACATTTAAGAAATAATGTGAACTGTCAAACAAAAAAAATCGGATTTGGGAAAAAAATTGGAATTGAGCATTAAGGCCTGCAGTCTGAACGTAACCTTAGAGAACAGCAAATTCACTGAATTTACTGTAAAGTTTAAAATAAAGCTGAAAATACAAATTGCTAAAAAGTCTAATACGTAAATCTTGTGATACTGATAAATGGTCATGTGACTCAGCATTGTGCTGCCCTTTCTCAGCCTAGTGGTGGCTGTATTTTTAGGGCGCTGGGAATTTTGAGTTTGTATATTGACCCTTTGGGGTTGCTGTAGCTGGTCAGCGTGGAATAGTGTATTAGCAGATCAAGCCCGTGAAGTTAGCAGCTCTTTTTTTCATTTCACACAGAGCACATTATGTACATGAAGTACTTGCACACTATGTCGTTCAGGATGTTAAGCATGTGAAGCGAAATGTGTAGTTTACGCGATCCAGAGGCTAATATCCGTTAGCATGTTAATGGAGGTTCCCATTATATTATAGACTATATAATATATATATATAATTTGTTGGTTTTTTATGCATTGATGTGATGGGCTGGGGAATCGATACAGTATTGTGAAAAAAAAGTATTGCAATAAATCAACGTATCCATTTTTTTGTACAGCCCTACTTCCTTTATCCTGTATTTGAAACAAAAGTCTATGCTAATGGCCAATTTATCTCACAAAATGCGAAACTGACACACAGACACTAATTCGAACAATTTCAAGAGAGGACACAAGGAGCCGAGGGGAGTAACACATACAAACATAAAAAAGCAGAGAGGGAGGACTAACCTGTCTGATGGTCCTGGCCACCAGGCTCTCCAGTACTGGTCCTCGGTCTTCATGGAGCAGGTGAACTTCATCTAAGATTAGGAGACGCACGATCTGGGAGAGAGCCACATCCCCGACACTCTTCCTGGTCACGACGTCCCACTTCTCTGGAGTCGTCACCAACATCTGGAAAAACACACATGATGACATTACAATAGGAACAGAACGCTGGTTTTGTAAAACCAGCCCCGTACAAGTAACTATAGAAAGTTAGCGATTAAAGACAAAAGGAAAAATAGAAGTATGTAATCTAATCATGTTAATAAAGTGGACAGATGAGACAGAATTTACAGCACCCTGTTTAATTTAATTATTTATTATTACAATTTTCCAGCAGTACATTTGTCATTGAAAAGGCACCGAATCCCAATTCATTTGCCGAAGTTTTCGTAACTCAGTGACTTAATTTAAAATGAAACATCTGCAGTTCTGTTGGCTGTGTACTCAACCGTCCATGCAAGGTTACTTTGCTTTGCAAGAAGCTTAACCTTTTTAGCATGTGGGAACGTTAGACATTGACTTGCTAAGTATGTAGCTTGTAAGAACTGCAGACTGTGCAGTTGTAACCACCAAATCTACGCTCATGTGATTGGCTGAAACAGAGGGAGACATCTGGGTCTGTGCTGCACCTTTTTTTTCCTTTTTTTTTATCCGTACCTTATGGAAGAGCAATACTACGTTGCTCTTTTAAGTAAGTTAGTATAAAGCTGGTTCTCCAACATCAATACTTTGTCAGCACTGACTAAATGTCTCCTGTGAAAAAAGAGTCAACAAGAAAATAGTGCTTGATCAGATACCAAATACAGTTACACAGTGTATTGGCACCAGAATTACAAACAGTGGGACAGACAAGAAAGACTGGAAAGCTGCAACAGGATTGGAAACCAAATGTCACAGATATGTTTCCTCTAATGGAGACAGGAAGAGGCAGTCAGCAGCATCATTGTGGGATCAACATTTATATATGAAACTATGAAAGGCTGCTTTTATTGAGTTTAACACTGTGTGTAAATGCACTGCCTATAAATAAGGTACTAAATAAAGCTACGTGTCACTTTCTCTCTGGCGCACTCACTCACTTTTCATCCACATATACATTTCAGATGTAGTTAATAGCATATATTTCAGTGCCATCCCTAATGCAAACCTGATCTGTAAACGCTGGTGTTATCACTGATCTCTCAAGTCTGACGTTGAGACAGCTTGTTTGCATCTATTGGTATGGGCGGCATGACCTATCAGAGATTTTTATCTACTAATAATTTCCACTGCATCATGAGCTGTGTTTTTAAATGCCTTTAATGAGGCTTATATTTTCAGTTCACATCTTCTAAAGATAACTTAATAAAGTGTTGAGAAGGGTATTAACATTTGATTTATAGTTTTAAAAAAGCGGTATAGCCTGTATTTCCCAATGGAACGAGGAAGACCAAGTGTCAACCGAAAACAGGGTCTGTGGCGATCACAGTCTCCATGGGAGCAGGGTAGTGGGACGAGGCATCTGCATGAGAAGGTAGTAATGGTTGGAAATACTGAGGGAGTGGGCGGGAGAAATTTGCCAAGAGAAAACCTGCATTAGAAATTGGGATGTGGGGATTGAAATATGTGGGCACTGATTAGGCAGGGAGGGTCTAACAGTGAGAAGCTCTTTTTGTTGAGACCATGATGAACAAAGAGTACCCCCCACTCATCACTGTAGTATTTTTTTTTACTTTCTGTCAGTCTCTGTAAACCTACATGAACTGAAACCAACGCCGAAGTGTGAGTAATTGGTGCCAGAGGACGCCGGCCCGGCCCATAACTCAGCTTGAGTGGGTTGACGGCGGGAGACGAGTCGAGTTCAATGGCATTCTGTGTGGCCTGCATTCATTCTCAGGCGTCAGTATCAAGCGGCCTGTATGTGGATGTGGCCTCAAGTTGTCCCTCATGTCTTCTGCTGAAATTGCTTTAAAGCAACAGCAACGACAAAAAAACCACCTTCTAAGTATTTAACGTGCATGCAAGCATTGTTTTAAGAAAGGCTTGTTAAATGTGACCCCCTCCTTTAAACCACGCTAGGGACTAGAAGTTAGGAAGAATTCTCTACGATTTCACCCAAGATATTGAAATTATTTTAGAGATCATTGCAGAGATAGATTTTCTCCACAATTTCCTGCTCACCCACCTGAATGACACACACTGTAAATCCCAGAGCAACACAACCACAATCCCTCCAGAATACTACGTCTGACTCATGGTTCATCAATGCCCAATGGCCTGCAGCTCGGCTCATTACAATGCAGACAGAAGCACCTAAATCATCCACCGTAATAACAGAAGCATACATTACTCACATCTCGTGTGCTAGATTATATTAGTTCTGCAGTCTACAGTGCGCCAGATGTTTGTTAATGTCAGCCTATGATACAGTCATATGCGATTCTGCCGTGTTTTGTGTGACACGATCAACAGTCAGCAAACATTCATTCATTTTCTATTAATTTTACCATCCCTCTTGGACTAATTAAATTCAACAGTATCAACACATCTCACCTTTATCAAATGTCAGCAACACCGTCTTTGCGCATTGCTTAGTGCTTATAATTCTAGTGCATATTTTATTCTCTCCTTTCAAGAAAAACACTACAATGCATAATTAATGGTGTGTGAACTGTTTGGCAACCTGTCTGTGGGTGTGCAAATTCCTATTAAACTCTTTCTGTAAAAGCAGTTCATTAAATCCTCTCTAGTTTGCATTTAAATAAATCTATCCACCCATTAGAGGCTGGCGTGCTCACAGAAAAGGAAGCGCCTGCTCCTAATTGGAGCTACTGGTTAATCTAAATGGAGGGTCTGGCAAATGGAGCACAGACCAAAGTGCTTTCTTAATTGCTACACAAATACACACATGGAGTTGAAGAGAAAACATGTAATTGTTTGGCTGGATGGTGTTATTTAGGCTATTTATCGATTGATCGTAGCAGGACTGAAATCAGTCATCTAAATCCACTGACTCTTAGTATTTTCATAGATGTTCTTCTTGGAGGTGACAATTTAATCAGAGAATGAATAAACTTGCATAGAAAAAAAAAAAAGCATAATAGCCTGTAACAATGTGGCTTCTCGTGCGGAGGTGTGGCTGTGTTGATTTGTGCTTAAGAACGTAGCCCCCGAGAAACAATACGAAAACAACATCTCTCTGTTCACCGTTTGTTGTTCACTCTCTTCATTCACTCCCTAGCTCGCTCGACCGCCGCTGCCCTCGCTCTCTAAGCACGGGGCCAACTGTGTTTTCCAAACAGCAACAAATCCTGCTCCGCTCATTAAAGACTGACTGACTTCAGCTGATGAATGACTTTATTCAAATTGAGGATTTTGTTTAAGGATTTAAAAAATGTTTCAGGGTGATGATGACATCATAACAAAGGATGACATTTGGTGCGGTGCTACATTTTTGTTTGTCAAATGGTCAGGAATAAGAAGGCATACATTTCTGTCAAGTAAGGTTAAAGAGACTCACTGCCTTTACTGTATGCTCCTTAAGAGGAGACTGAAGGGATGGAATAGCATCACAAATGAAGAACACAACAGTTTGGTGATGTCGATGGGTCGCAGGCTTAAGGCAGTTATTGCAAGCAAGGGTTATGCCACCAAATATTAAATGTTGTTTACTTTAAGATTATTTATTTCATTACTTTTGCTCACGCTGATGTCCTAAGTTCTAACTATCTAGATGTGAATACCAGGAAATAAAAGCTGAAATTCTGAATTCTTGTCTCATACCGTCCCAATACTTTTGGAGGGGAGTATATTATATATATATTTATTTATTTATTTATTTATTAGGGGTGGGAATCACCAGAGGCCCCACGATACGATATGGCGATATTTGTGTTACGATTCGATTTTATTGTGATTTTAAATATATTGAGATATATTGCAATTTATTACCTTTTTCCAACTTCCAGTTAGGTCCCTAAAGTCAAACTTTGTCAACATCTGTTTATCTAAAAAGATATATTTCTCTGTATATATACACACACACACACACACACACACACACACACCGCTCTAGAAATGACGTACTTCTACTTCTTGCACCAGTATAGTGGCAACAGGAGAAGACAACTGCCCAGTCAGAGCTGAGTGTGTAAATGAATGCTTTACTGGCCTGCAAGCTTCAAACTCGAGAGCCAAGACAGAACATGTCACTATGAGTCAGTATGTGAACAGGGAGTAAGGCTGAGTCCGAATGTCCATCTTCTGAGCTTGCGGCCTGGGCCGCTGCTATGCTCATAACCCTGTATTTATTTTTAAATTTGTAATCCCCTTTAGAGTTTGCGAGGCTGCAACTGCAGGTAAGTTTGGGAATTTGGATTAAGCCTGACCAATGAAAACTGACCCACAGACAAATTTAAAAAGTATTACTGTAACTTTATAAAAATTATTTACATTTGATTAATTTATTACTCTTTCACAGCGCATGGTTTTGTATGAATTAACGGATAATAAAACATTGCATCTTTTTAATACATTTTTCACTGATACAAGTGATTTATTTACTGATATTTAAAAAAAGAACTCTGCCTTTCTTTTCAGAGCAACATCTTATAAAATTTTATTTTTCCAAGGATCGATTCTTCAAGTTATCGCAACGTGACAGATGTAGGAAAATGTCTGAAGTTATGTCAGATATTTTTTACATTACTGCCACTGCCTGGCAGGTATTTAGATAAATGTCTGTTTTTCCCCTCGTCAATTCTTTGGCTGAGACATGTTCCGCATATAGGAGGCACCAGTGACCTTTCCTGTAGCATTTACAGCAAAGCTTGTTACCAATATGATTAATTAGATATCTGTATGGAAACACTAATGTGAATGTTACTTCACAACTCTCACACAATGTTTATAAAGTTAATTCGACGATGCTCATTGTTTCCACTCAGCCTTCCCAGACAGTGGTTGGTCTGTTGTACAGTAAGCATACATGCTGTGCTGTTATTCATGTAAGCAGAAAAGCTTACTCCAACTGTGATATTACTGAACAGAATAATCTGTATAAATACAAAGAGGCCCACCTGCTTGGTTTATTAAATAAGAATCCTTTCAAAGTAATTCATGCTCTCAAATTAACAATAAATGCACCC